CTTTTTTGTTATCGGTATAACCACCTATTTTTAGCCTCTATATGACACCGACCAATATATATCGGTTATTTTGTTCTAAAAAAAAAAAAAAAAAAAGACCAGGAAAAATCACTATGTTTATTTTAAAAATAATGAAACGAAATTTTTTTTTTTTGAATTTTTAATGCTATAAAAAAACCTCTAATCTTCTGTTCTTTTTTTTTTTTCTAAAATCACTATACTTTTCTATGGTACATAACTGACAGTTTACAGCAGTTCAGCAGTTTTTATTATAGATAATCGGAGGTTTATTTTGCAAATTAGAGGGGGGAAAAAAATTCTTTTTAAAATAATATAAATAAAGAAACTGAAGAAAAAAATTCAAACTGAAAAATTTTTCGACAATTTTTTTCTCACTTTTTTTTTTTTTTTAAAATGATTTCATCGGATAAAACAGTGATTTTCCAACGTAACATTGCCCGCAGGCAATTGTTTTATCCAATGACAGTAAAGTTTGTAAACGCTAACCTCGCCCAGTTGAGCAATCAAATAAACTAATAATATCGATAAAAATTGAGCTCAATTGATTTGTTTTAAAAAAATGGTACATAAAATTGGACAACGTTTAAGTAAAACGACAAAGTTTATGTTTTTTTAATAGAAAATTTTTGTCTTTTGTAAGTGAAAAAAAATACCCACAACAGCTTTCAGTTTGCTATGAAATTCAGCATCGGAAAAAAAAAAACACGTGCAATACTTCTATCAGAAAATTTTTGAAACATCTTTGTTTCCAGCAATATAAAAATATTTTGAATAAGCGGAAAGAGAAGAAAAAATGAATACAAATGCAAAAAAAAAGACGGGAACATTAAATCAAAAGTCTATTAATTAGCTCAAGTTTTTTTTGTTTTTTTTAAAGTATAGATTCGTGCAAATACAGATTTGGCAAATCAGTTTAAGTATAGAAGTGCAGCACATAAAACTAATAGTTTTAAAATTTCAAATTCTTTACTCTACACTTATATTCTATCAAATTCAACTATTACAGCGCTAATTGTTGATACAGTTACAGTTCTGATGAAACATCAAATTTTAGTAATCAAAAAAAAAAAAGTCTTTTCAATTGAAATATTAGAATAAAACTGTCATTACTGTTTATTAAGGTTTAATTTTTGTTGAACTATTTTGAACTGCTTTTAAAATGATAAAACCTTTGCTGTTTTTTTTATTATTTTAATTTTTATTTGTTTCTTCAACCACTCTTTTTTGGCAGATAAACAAAAAAAAATTTTAGCTTCTCTTTTTTTTTCTTTTTCAAATAATTTAAATATTAAACTGCCACATTTTGGGAGGCGATTGAAATTGGAGTTCCATGCAATTTTAATCAAATAAAACTAATACAGATATATGCGAAAAAAAAAAACAGTTGAAGAACTATGAGGTTTGGTGTCATTTTTTGTTATTGTATTGCTTATTCTTTAGATTTGTTAAAAGTTATCTCAATAAACTATCAAAAATAATTGTTGATCAAAAATACCAAAGTTTTCCTATTCAAGAAAAAGAGTTTTTTTTTCTATTATACTTCTACACTTTGTGTTTTGCTTTACATACAATAAAATCTTTCATATTTTACTTTATTTGATTTGAATGCTTTTTTTTGATAGGTTAAGTGAAATCAGCTTGTAAAGAAAATGCTACTATGTTATTACTGTTACTATTCTACATTTTAACAGTATATTTGTAGTCTGATTTTGTTGAACTTACTCAAAATTACTCGAAATTTTTTTATCTTTCTTCTACAGAACAGTTTGATATGCAACAACAATTGCAGCATAAAATACTTCTCTGCTATCACAAATGGCAAAGGTGTTATCAGATTCAACAGTTTTTCAAAAACCTTATCACTTCAATATGTTTCTTGTTGCTGCTAATTTTATATGCACTCAGTTCTGCTGTTCGACACAGTTTTCAAAACTATACATTTTATGTTTTTCAGATGTAAGTACAAAAATAAAATAAGATAAGCAGATAACTTTTTTTTACCGTATTTTTCACTCTAAAAAAAAAAAAACACTATCATAAAGCAACATTTGACAAAATGTCATATATGCATCAACAAGTAAATATACTGAGCAGTAGAATAAAAACTTATTCTCAGACAATTAACGAAGATTTGAAGAGTGTAAAAGTTGATGTAAAAATGTAATGTGAAGTGTTAAAAAATATTGAAAAAACTGAATAAATAATGTTTACTTTAAGCCGGCTAATTGAAGCACTATAAAAATTGAAAAAAAAAAA